GGTTCAGCGAACTGGATCCTACTGGAGAGTGATTGATGTGTTGGCTCTAGATGTACGATCTGATTGGGGAAATGCTTGTTTGAACTAGTGCAAATTATTGCCAGAGAATACAAAGATAATATCATTGCATCACTAATGTTTTCCATCTGAAATCACTGCTTCCCAGTTATATAACATTTAAAAATAAGTTTCAGCTACATTCTAAGGAGGCATTTATTATTTGTTGTGCTAGGGTCTGCAGAGGGACGTTACTTGCTGCAAATGTTTCAGTTTAGCATTGCAAAGGCATCACGTGCTTGTTACAGTTCTACTTCAGGCTAGATAATATTAAGTAAACTGCGCTGCCCCCCCTGACTAGAAAAAATGGCTCTGGTGTAACTCTGCTCCTGCCATGTCTCTGTTCTTCAGGACTGCAGGTTGTTCTGTATATAGATGAAGCAGACTACAACCCTTTCCTGGTGACGTCAACAGGGGCCAAGATCATTGTCCATGACCAAAATGAATATCCCTTTATTGAAGACATCGGCACAGAAATCGAGACAGCAGCAGCAACCTCCATAGGGATGCACTTTGTGAGTGACAGCAATGTTGTTTCAAGGTGCACAGCACCATTCGCTTGAAGCAGATGGAAATATGGTCTGATATGATGTATGAACATTAGCCAGGAGTTGGAAAAGCATCTAATACCTCACGCTTGTACATCTGAAGCGCCCCGAGGAAAATCCTGTGGTAGCACTTTTCTGAACTTTTTTCCCTTGCTATGGGGCTGTTGGAAAACGAGATCTTTAAAAACCAAAGAGCTGCTGAGGATTTTGTTTCTTCTCCCTTTTCTCCTACCCCTTGGCTTTCCCGAGCATTTTTTGTTTTTCACAGCAAAATCTGCAACCACCGAGGTGCTGTGAAATGCCCTGTTTTGCTTTTGCAGCGTGCAGATGTGTTGGCATCCCACGCACATTCTCAGATCAGAAGAGAAGAGATAAAGCTGTAGGTAACATAGTAGAGTCAGGTCTATAGAGACGACTAAAGCACAACCCACATAACCGTTCTGTGGGTATAAGAGAGCCTCATTCTGTTTGATTTCTCACTCTCCTGGCTGCAAGGAAAACCATGTGGGCAGGAGCCCTCTGCCTTTGCCGGCTCAGTGAAGCGACCTGCCAGTGTTGTCAGCAAGGGTGGGAAGGGCTGGAGTGTGGTGCTCCAAAAATCCCCAATTAGTGTAGTGCAGACAAGGCATTTGACCTAAGGGGCTTCTTTCCGTTGTAGAGAAGTGAAAGCAGTGCCATCAGGGCAAGGCAAACTTTCCCCTTTCATCTGGATGGGCTGTTAAGTGAGCAATTTAGTTTTGCCATTTCTTTACTGATGGTTGGCTCAGATGCATCAGCTAACCTGCTTATCTGTCCTGACTGGGTGCGCCAGGTCTAGGTAGTTCATGCATTAGAAAAGACATTAAAAACAGGGCTGCCAGTTGTAAATGTGCAAATAGCTAAATATCTTCCAGCTGTCTGGAAAACTGACTGCTGGGTCTAACAGCAGGGACAAATGCTACCTGACAAACAAAAACTGAATGAAAGGTATCAGAACAAAAAGGGTGGAGCGGAGGCAAAGTCTCACAAAAGTGTGTTTCTTTTATAACTATTATACCATACAGTAGAAAGTCACTGCAGATAGAGTCTCAATATTTAATTTAATATTTTCTTGGCATGGTAGATTTGAACTGTTGCATACAATATAAAAAACAAGATCGAACATGTCTTGGTAGCTATGTTTAAGAGATTTGCCATGACTGCATCTTAACATATCGGCTGAAATAGAAGCTGGACTCAATTTCTGGACCCAAAGCAAAAGCCTGCATGTTGGTGATCACTGCATTGCCACTAAAGGAAGACTCCTAGAGGGCCTGGCAGGGAGAGCAGCGATTGTCAGGACAGGGCTGCACAACCAAGAGTCCCCATCAGTCCCTATACCTGCATCCAAATAAGTGAAGGAGGCAGAGTGGACATGTGCCGCGCACAGCACTGCATGCAGTAGGCTTGAATACAGCAATTCCTCTTTTTCAAATGCAAACATCAGTGTCTAGGTTATCGGTCATATATTTCTTCTGTGTACTACAACTCCCTCCCCACTCGAAAAATACTCCAAGATGTCTGGAATGCAAACAAGGCATTACTTGGTAGGAGTTTCAGTGCTTTAGTTAAATATTTGGTTTGGAAATTATTTCGATACCTGAATGAACAAGTATGCTTTTGCAGGAGCGTATGCCATGGCAAAAAATTTTATACAAAGGATCCATCATCTGCCAGAAGATACAGCAGCAGGCTCTCTGAGGCAGGTATCCCAGCATTAGATTGTCCACAGAAGTTAAAAGAATAGTAAAGGCTGGTTTCATTCAGTTTTCAGAAGTTTCCACATCTCTTAATGTTGATATCACATATTTCTGTGTTCCGTCCAAAGAGCAATTTGAGCATCTTTCTACAAAAAGTGACTTGCACCATACATGCAATAGCCTTCTATCGTAGAAGCCATGATTATAAAGCCTTAGCATTTCTACAGTGCCGTAGCTGTGTTTAGTGCTTTGCAGATAAAAATGGTAACGCTTGCTATCAGGTTTGACCCCAATAGCCTGTACAGTCACCGTCCTCAATGTATGCAAGCATTTATCAGGTTCCTGCTAATTATATCCTTTGCAAGATCAGTCACTAATTTAAACTCTATATAGAAAGAAAGTATAGGTGAATGGATTTTTAAATGTGTGACATTTCTTGTTGTTTCAGGCCACTCTTTTTTTTTTTTTTTTAAAGGGGGCAAATACTGCAGAAAGATAGTAAGAGTTTAGGGCTGAGGGGGGCAAGGCAGTCCGTAGGAAGCAGACAGTGTAAACTGAATCGGGTCTTGTGCGCTGGGGAGCTCCCAGCCCCGCTCTCCGCAGACCTTGCACGCACAGCTCTTGGAATTTCAGAACTCTTTTCTCCGAGCAGAGATTGCAGAACAGGAAAAGCTGTTAGTATTCAAAGGAGAGGAAGGGTCAAAGCAGTTCATGGAAAAAGTCCTGAAGGAGATACAAACATTTTATTCAGCGTGATTTTAGAGAGGTGCTTTTGAGCACTAGTGAAGCCTGAAGTGCTGTTTTATCCACAGAACAGGAGCAGCCGGTGCAACGACAGCTCAGAACAGTGCAGGTCTTCACAGCAAAAAAACCACCAGATTGTTTCTCCACAGGGTAAATGATGCATGGTCACTAGGACTTTGCAATGAGAGAAAGCATGTGTATGAATTACTCTGCTTTAAGAAAAATCCTCACTGCTACCGTTTTACAGTCTCAGCACTCCTGCAGAGGTGTTCAGCAAAGACACCAGATAATCCAGCTACAGCAATGTTTGGGGAAATGGATGCTAAACCAAACAAAACTCTTGTTTTGACAAGTGACTGACAAATCATTTGAGATGGCAAAATATAAAGTTCAAACCTGCTCCATCACTTCCAGTTTTGGAATTGTATTGAACTGCCATACTATTAAATCCTTTGGTTCCCCTGTGGTATCCCAAACCAAGATTTGTTCTTTTCTGATTCTCAGACTCGGTCTCGCAAGCTCAGCAAACCCTACAGTGACTGCACAGAGACTGGTGCTGACATACCGGTGGAAAATCTCTATAACAAGAGCTACTCACTCCAGGTAAATCTCTGTTGCATTTGGTTTTTTCAGTCACTTGAAAACTATCTTCCTAAAAAGCTTTACAATAGTCTGTAGTTCAGGATCTGAGACTGTTAACAGTCCAGGCACAGGGTCACTGCTTTTAATCACTGATATAAAATGCCCCAGCACTTTTTGAAATCCAAGTTTTATTCCTAAGTGGTTGATGTTTGAAGTTCCCTTAGGCACTCTGTTAGATAAAGAGAGAACATTAGCTCATTAGGCAATTTTCAAGCAATGTGAGACTGGAAAATATTGGCCAAGTAAATGTTGCAGCTTAGTAACCCTTGAAGCCAGAAATTGTGACCTTTAGGACTCCAAGAATAACAGATACCATCTAATCAGTATCCAGATAGCAGGATGTTTACAGAGTAAGTTTCCACTAATTTTGCATGGTTTCTGTAATTGGGTCCTCTTGGAGAGTGTCAGGTGTTCTGGCACCCTCCGTTTGAAGAACCATAATTATATTTGCTGCTGTCTTCTCTAAATCCTGTGCCTAGGTGGATTTTTATTTTATGGGGTATTATAAATGAAATCTACTGTGATGTAGTGCCAGGTCAGATCACATGGACATTATCCCAGGTTTTTAATAAAAGTATTTCACTGAAACTCAGGGCTCAGGAGAGCTGGGACTGGGAACAAAAGACTTGACTACTAGAAATTCTAGAATAAAGTTTTAGTTCCTGCGTGTTCCAACTGATTAATCATTTCAGCACAAAGCAACGAGTCCACTGCCCTGTTAATCCTAACGATTCTCAGTCTCCAAACATGCACCAACACAAATTAGTTGAACTTGTGAACGTTTTCACTAGTGAGTCACTTCCCCACACCTAGTTGTTGATTCATGGATTAGAAGTACCTTCTCCTTGGCCATGGGAAGAACAACTACAATACTGAAGCTTTTGAGGACTATGAAGGAAATGGAGGGGATTCACAGAAGCCCCCACTCAGAGGGGGTTGCATTTTTATTTCTCACATTCCAGTCTTTACCTTCCATGGCACTTTCTGCCTGTGTTTGTTTATATTTCAGGCAAAGGAGGCTGAAGTCCTTGGGGAAGAGGTTTCCATCTTCTTGCCACTAGTCATAAACAGAACATTTTTAGGTGAATGGGAGTCTGGAGCTTGGAGCTCCAGAAACGACAGGGGAGGCAGAATGCAGCAATAGGTGTTTCTTGGATGCCCAACCCTTGGTTTATCTCCCTCCAGATTTGCCTGCACTCCTGTTTCCAGAAGGCCATGGTAGACTCCTGCGGCTGCGCCCAGTATGCACAGCCCTTACCTGCTGGGGCAGAGTACTGCAACTACAAGAAAAACCCCAACTGGAGTAAGTTCCCCGTCATTCAAACACCTCCCACATTGCATTTCCTTCAATCAGCAGGTGCCCTGCTGCCAGCCATGTCCCTCCGCAGCACCATCCCCAGGTGTCACAAACCAGGTTACCGTCGGATTGTCACCTCAGGTGCACAACTGACCAGAAAAAGAGGGGGGATCTGCCTTAGCTCTCCTAATGCCTCATATCACGGAGCCTGGAAACTGCCTTTCTCCTTTAAATCAATTTGTCCCTGGGAGTTTTTCTATGTGCTTGTTATTTGTGCACATCCAGAAGTGCTGAGCTGAGGACTTGACTGTGTGAGGCAATGCTGCATGCGTATAGCAAGTGACAACCACTACCCAGAGGATTTTGCAATATTCATAGGGGAAATCTTGTTATCCCCATCACGTAGGTGAAAGCTAAGGCCTGAGGCACACAGGCCATCCGCATGCCAGCAGCCCCACTCCAGCACAGGCAGCAAAAGATCACTGCTTCTCCTTCTGGCTTCTCAAACACCCACCTTGTTCTCTTATTGCAGTGTACTGCTACTACAGGCTGCATGAAAAATTTGTGAAGGAGCAGCTGGGCTGTCAGCAAATTTGCAAAGACGCCTGCAGGTAAGTCCTGCCCAACACTAGAAAGAAAACGCTGCGCGTGCAGGAGTTCACGCTTACAGCTAACAGCCTGCCTTTCTCTCCAGCTTCAAGGAGTGGGCCCTCACCACCAGCATCGCCCAGTGGCCATCTACAGTGTCTGAGGTCAGTTCCCAATTTTGCTTAGGTTGACCTCTCCCAGGCAGGGTCCAGGGAGTATTCCCAGCCACCTGCCCCCGTGGCCCTTGGCCCAGGAGACTTTGTCAGACTGTTTCTCCCTTTGCTGGAGGGTGCTGCCGGCCCTGCTGCTCTCACCTCGCGGGGATCCTCAGCAGCCTGCCGGAAACAGCTCTCGTTGTTCGGGTGCAAGTTGCTGAGCCAGAGCAGCATGGCAATATAGAGGCGCCTAAATAAATCCAGGGGTTCAACACAGAAGCAAGGGGTCCCTGATATATTTGTTAGCACCTCTCTGATGCGCCTCCCAGAGAATCAGTCTGTAGTGTGAGACGCTTCCACCGCCAGGATTCCCCTAAACGAGTTACACAGAATCACATAATCACAGAATTCACCATCTAAACAAAAATTTGGCTTGTGGGCTGAGAGATCTTCTTGGGGACAGCTGCCCATCACATGCATTTCATTCTGGAGCCAAACCTGGTCTAAGTAGGTATGAAATGTGACCTCTCTTTCCAGGGAATTTCTGCACAAGTCACAGGTATAGCATTATTTTCTTTAACTTTTCCAGGACTGGATGCTTCGAGTTCTCTCTTGGGACAAAGGGCAGAAAATCAACAAGAAGTTAAACAAGTAAGTTTCCATTTATGTATTTCTAGCCTGCACCTCAAGCTCAGATATAATCTCAGCAGCCCTAATGATGGCAATTGGGGAAAAAGCTCCCTTAGAGCGGCCCAGCCCTACTGGTCCAACTGGTTATTTGCATAGTTTTTCAGTATGTTTCATGTTATTGTTTTACTAAACCCTCAACCTCCCTTCTGCTTTCCTTCTCAGAACAGACCTAGCAAATCTCATGGTGTTTTACAAAGACCTGAATGAGAGATTCATTTCAGAGAATCCTGCCAACACGGTAAGTAAATGTAGTGATTCCTGTGTGCTCAAGATCAGGAGAATGTGCCTCTTCCTCTTTGACAGGCTAGAAATTTTCGTTTAGCCACAGAAGTGGTCCCAACCAGGCAGAGGCAGGAAACCATCCACAGGTGATGCACCCTGGGGCTTCCAGTCCTGCCCTTTGCAGTCTTCTATCCAGAGCAGCTTTTCAAACTATTTCGTCCCAAGTCATGTGGGCAGCCTGCAGGCCACCTAGAATAAACATAGAATTAGCATCCTGTTGAAGTAGAGCAGAGCAAGAAAGGATAATGGATACGGCGGAGGAAGGGCCCGCAGTATTTTGTAGTGCTTCCCTTGCAGCCCCAGCTTAGCGCAGCTTCCCAGCTGACTGTAACAGCGATACGTGGACGCTTGCCGGTCTCCCAAAGGAGTCGATAACCTTGTGCTCCCTTCTCTTCCAGCTTGTCATTCTTCTTTCCAACTTTGGAGGCCAGCTGGGCCTTTGGATGAGCTGCTCAGTTGTTTGTGTCATTGAGATTGTGGAGGTTTTCTTCATTGATTCACTTTCCATCGTAATGCGGCGGCGATGGCAAAAGACAAAGAAATGGTGGAACGACCGGAAAAGAGAACAGGTGGGGAAGCCATCTCAGGCCAGTGATCTGGACAGAGAAGGCCATGATAACCCTGTGTGCATCGATGAGGACCTGCCCACCTTCAACACTGCCCTTCGCTTACCACTGCCCCAGGAGAACCACCTGCCCAGGACTCCTCCACCCAATTACAGCACTTTGCGGCTAGAGACTGCGTTCACAGAACAGCTGCCTGATACGCTAGATGTTGGGCAACACTGATGCATTGTTTATCCGCTCATCGAGATGCCAAAATAAGAAGTGGATGCTGGACCCGTGTGTCCAGGGGTGAAAGGCACACACCCAAGCAAGCACTGAAGGGTTGTTGGGTCAGACCCTTATTCAGGGATTGAACTTGCGGTCAAAGCGTCTCTAGGCAAAGCTCAGACACAAAAGCTGAGGGCTCAGAGACATTAAGAACTTCAAACAACATCAATTCTCAAGTTAATTATTGCAGGAGATGGCTAGAGCAGGATGTGGCACTGAGCTGGGATGTCTTGCCAGACAGAGGCATACGTTAGCAACAAACTGTGCACACACCCCATTGTATGTGGGCAGGAATTACTCCACAGCAGAAGATTGATGCCACATTGACTATTAATGCTAATTGCTCTCTGCTGTGTGGCTTGACTTGTGGGAAAAACCCAGGGCTTTCAGGAATGTGGCATGACATTTGTAGGAAGGGGAAAGAGCTTTGGGAAGAGCACAAAATGGATGAAAGAGAAGCTCTCAGTTTGAATTTTGATTAGTGATCTGATTCCAAAGTGGTTTCAGGAGCTCTTTAGTCTGAGATGAAAAGTTAGGATAGTAATAGATTTGCTTGTAGAGTAAGTTATTACACAGCTTCAGTAAAAGAACCTAAGTCATCCCGAAATGGTAATTTTAAAGTGTACGAAATCTAATTTGGAGCACAACAATGAACTGCATACTCTGCAAGCTTGTTTCATTTAACATCGCTCAAGCCAGACGCTAAATACATCCTCAGAGTAGGTCATTAAGCAGCGCGTGGCCTCGGACGCCTGACTTCCCAGAAGCCTCAGAGAGAGCTGAATTCTCATCTTCCTGCTCAATCCCCAGGTGAGGACTTTCTTCCCGCAGCCACCCGGTGGTTCATCCGCCCGCGCACCGGCTCCGGCGCCGGCCCCCGGCGGCACTGCGGGGCCGGGGAGGAGGCAGAGCCGCAGCGGCAGCTGGAGCTGCACTGGGCTCCCCGCCTGGCCCCTGAAGGAAGGAGGATACATCTGCTCCGCCTGCATGTTGTTAAGCTCGGTGACACTGCCCTGGTCCACACTCCGGTGTCGACACCCATATCCTGCCGCCCGTGCACAGAGCTGTGCTAATTCTTCCAAGCCGGACCCTCCCCGCGCTGCAACCACGGAGACAAAAGCCAGTCATTGGGTTTGCGTGCCTGTCATTAAAGGTTGCTGCCTGTGCCCATCCTTAGCATGGAGGCGAGCCCTCGTCACTGGAATTTCCTGCCTTGCATCTGTGAACAAGAGCGCTCAGGGTCTAGTTCTGCAACCTCCCAGTCAAGCAGCAGAAATGCCAGCTGGCTGCATTGGCAGCAGGTCTGAATGCAAAGCAAAGCTGTAGCTTATCTTCCCAAAATGGTAGTTTACCTTCCACCAGGCTCATTTCTCTGCTCAAGTTTGCTGTGCTGCTGCACAGACGAGTGCCCCAGCACAATTCCCGAGGCCAAGGGAGCAGCAGCAAGGGGAGCGGGGACCGCCTGCGCTGCATGGCTGCAAACGCGCTTGTGTCGTGACAGCCTCAGCGTCCAGGCGTCCACACGGTCTCGGTGGCAGAATCCCTCCCCAACTCCAAATCCTCCTCCCAGCTTTTCCCCACAGCAGCCTGTTTCTAGCTGATTAGAGCACACTGTAGAGACGTGAGGAGGAAGGTAGCCTACACTGGCCTGGCTGCTTAGGGCTTTTGTGGAACACGTGTGTATGTCTGTGTGTGTGTGCGTGCATGCGTAACGGTCTCTCTCTCGCTTTCTCTCTCTATATAAACTTATTTTACATAGAACAGTGAGAATCTAGAAAGGTTCTTTAATGTGCAATAAAACATATTTTAACTGGATTATTTAAATAGACGATAAACTGAAAAATAAAAATATATTTTTGAATAACTGCTTCTTCCTTTTTCCTAAATCAGCAAGAGATGAGTTAACTTCCACGCAGGCATCCGAACACATTAGGAGACTTGCCTGTGCCCTCCCCAGGGCTGCTGCGCACTCAGCGGTGCTGAGTGGCCGGGCCCAGCGCCCCAGGGCCCCTCTGCAGAAGGAGGGCTTTTTCTGCAAAGCCCGGCTAGTCCCAGCTCGGGAGCAGGCCGTGCTGGCTCTCCTCTCCAAGCAGCAGTGCCTCGTAGCAAGAAACAACACGACAGCAAGTGCCCCGAGCACCCGATGGGGCGGCGAGCGCCACGACCGTGCACACATGAGCTTGAGCAGCCTGCGGCTGCGCCACGTGCCCACCGGTGCTGACTGCGCACCCAGGGCCGCTCTCCAGCCTGGCCTTTCCCCACAGCCTTTCCGCTCGGGCAGGTTCACGCAGGAGACACCTCTCCAATCCCCTACGGAGGGCGGAGAGGGATGGCTGTGCCGGATAGGGAACGGCAGCAACCACAGAGGGCCTCTGATGCCATTTCCCAGAACGCTGCTCAGGGTGCTGGGATGGGAGTCACTGAGCGTGGATGACACCAGGTTGCTCACCCGTACCAACGGCTCCTCAGGGAGGCATCTAATATCCAGAGGAGAAACACAACCCGCCCCGTGCATGAGCTGTGGGGTCAATGAACCTGTGAGGGATCTTCCAGGCAATGCTCAAACAAGTCCTTGGCATAAAGAGATCATGTTGCTCTAAATCAAAGTTCTTCCCTGCCAACGCAACCCAAGGAATCAGGAGACGTGCCAGACGGACGTTCCTGACTGCATGGGCTGCTGAGGCGGGTGCCTGCGCTCAAGCTATGCAGAAGAGCTGCAGATCTGACCTTTAGGAAAACACATTGTGTCTGCTTCTTTCCTTCCCACCACCGCTACCAGTGCAAACCTCCGCAGCTGTGTTGTCATCTTCAGACTGCCTAGATAAACACTTAGGCTTTCTTTTACACTTCATAGCCTGGGTTAAGGGCTAATTTAAAATAAGTCATTCTCAAAAGACATTCCACTTCTACGGGCACAGCAGTCCTCGGACTAGCAGCTGCTGCCGTGCCCACCTAGCGCCGGTTGTCCAAGAGATAACACCCCGCACGCTGCTGGCCTGCGCCGGCTGGGCCGGAGGCGACAGCGCGGGCGGGTGCCTGGTGAAAATGCCTTTCGGAAACCGGCCCTAGCCAGCCAGCAACCTGGCAGCAGCAAGGTGACTGCAAATGCTGGAACCCCAGGTGTCCCACGGCAGCTTCACTGGTGGACAGTCCTTTAGAGCCTGCAAGAGAAAAAGCGAAGGCAGTTTATACTGCCTCAAAGCCCCTCTGCAGTGGATGAGGCTGAAACGCTCAGAGCGAACAGTCGCTCACCTCCATCACCTTTGTAAGCAGGACAGTATCAGGTAATGATGCTGCTCACACGAGACTCGCCCCGTTTGCAACAGTGGCAAAACCGACTGAGAGAACAATGCTGGCACAGTCAAAGCAAGCCCCACGTTCACACCAGGGCCGCTTCCAGTTACTCCTCTGCATCACAGGCATGAACAGTCATGATTACAGCAGTGGTGGAAATTGGAGCAAATTTCTGAGCCAGATAATGTTGCTCCTTCCCTTCCAGTTTGTTGCTCCTTTATAGGGGACCTGGTTTGGCTTAGTAATACGTAACGAATGAACTTCCTCCAGATGCAGACAGTTATTTTGGACCTTATTTTGACTCCAACTTTTACAAACTGCAGCATCTTATGAACACTGGAACAAAGAAGAAAAAAAAATGAGTACGCATATTGCAAGGCGGGACATTGCACAATTCTTCTGTTCTCATCTCAGCTTCTATGTGCAACACACTGATGGACAGAGACAGGGCACAGTTTGCTGAGAAAAATGCAGGGCTCGCTCACTGCCTTGTGGAGGGAAGTATCAAGGAAGGGAGGTAATGTCTAAGGGTACTGTTAAGGCAGCTTAGTGCAATGTCTTCCACATCGCTGACACCGCTCACACGCGGACTCATTTTATTCTCAGGCTACCCAAGTCACTCGGCACCTCTCCAAGCAACCCTATTCTCATTCAGCACCAAGCTGAATTAAATCAACAGCTACTAACTGTGCAACCAGTCACCCCAGAAAGAAAATCCCGTGCACGCGCCCCAGACATCTCTCTGCGCCCCACGTCCCCGCGGGAGCCCGTCCACCTCCTGCCGACAGCAGGCGAAGCAGGCGCCCGGCCGTGGGGCTCGACGCGTCCTCGCAAGGTCTGGGTCTAGTGCAATTGCGTCACTCGGTTTTTAAGAAACGTTCATCAAGAAAGATGTCCAAAGCCCTTCCCGGGCGACCGGCACTGAACCTCGGAAAGAGGAGTCCGACTCGGCCCGATTAGACGTTCAGTTTCACAACGAAATCCTATGCCAAATCAGAACAAAAAGTCTCCGTTGCTGCGTCCTGGTCGTTCGCCAGAGGTGCGCGTTGCCACCCAGCGTTTGTTTTCCAAAAGCTACGTACACCTCATTGACCCCGAGGGCTTTGCGGGAAGCAGCAAGACCCCG